GATGAGTTGGCAATACATGGTTTAAAAAAATTTTCAAATCAACGCTTTTTAAATTTGTTTTTGCCATGTCATAAAAAAAATTATAAAAAATGCCATAAAAGCGAGTTAACGGTTTAAATTGACAGAAGGACTAATGGAGTGCATTTCTTAGAGTTGAGAGATCAAAAAAGTGCAAAAAATTGTTGAGGGACCAAAAATGTGCAACTCACTAAATTTGAGGGATCAAATTTAACATTTAACCAAAAAAGAAAAGAAAAAAGAAGAAGAAAAAGAAGAAGAAGAAGCGCATGAAAGTTACGCCTAGAATGATTCCATTTTCCCTTCTTTTCTTTTTTTTTTTTTCTAATTGTGAAAATTTTTCCATTTTTTTAACAAATATTCAAAAGTTCTAATAGTTCCATTTCCCCTTTTTTTTTATGGTGAAATTCTTTCTTTTTTAGTACAAATATTCAGAAATTCTATTATATAACATGTTACTCAATGCTTCCAAAAGAAGTATTAATGTTTGCAATGGAGATACAACTGACTCTTGATTATTGACATCTTTAGAGCACAACTAATAATCTTTACACTAGTTGATTTCTTAGTTTTATTTGTGCTAATTTTTCATGTTGAGTTATTTATTATATATGTTATAATTTATATTATATTTTAAAAAATATCGCCTCCATTTTAATCTTTTTCAAGCTTTGCTCCTGATCAAAACATTACACATGTTTATATTTTGCTACAGAAATTGAAAACAAAACATGTGGAGGATAAAAGTTACATTATATCTGTTTTCGCCGTCGCCGTCGCCGTCGCCGCTAGAGGCTCCAGAGAAAAATTTTCCGACCGTTGGGTTTGCTTTTTGATTGATAAAGCCGAAAATGGGTACGGGGAAAAGAAAATGGGCTTCCGAACGTTGGGTCGGGTGTGTTGTTCAACTTTAGCCCAGTCCGAGTTGAGTTGGGCTGATGGATTTTCTAACAATTTATTTTTACTGTAATTTAATTTCTACCAATTTTTATTGTACTTATTAATTTTAAAAAATTATTTTTTTAAAAGAATTGGGTTGCAGACTGACAACTGGCATATATTGTAGGGCTGATAGGGTTTGAACATAGTTAGTACTTTATTATTTTTTAACATATAAATTAAATTAAATAATTTTTAAACTCGCACTTAATTCTTATGGTTCAATGACTAGTAGCATTGAAAAAGTACATATCTCTTTCTCTTGTTCGGTTTCGAACCCACGCATAACAAAAAGTTCAAAAAAAAGAAACTTTTAAACTCTTAATTTTGAAATTGTTTAATGAAAAGGATTTTTGTAAATAAATAGGTATTAAAAGAACAAGTAATTAGATTAAAACAATTTTATATCAATGAATCCTATAACATAAAAGTGCCTTGAGGCGTTAGGCATTAACAAATGCATTGTTCTTAACACCAAAATCTACAAGTACCTTATCAAAAGCTTTGGCAACGTCTACTTTAAGTCCCATAATGAGGCAAAAAGAAAGTATTCCATTTCTCAATCTAACTACCTGGGTCAGGCTTATGATCTATTTTTGGTTCAAAAGGACAAAGAAGCTTAGAGAAAGAGAGAGCTTTGAGTAGAAAGCAAGCAAAACAAAGGGGCAACAAAAAATCACACTTTCATTTTTTTCAACGTCAAGGCAAGCATATATGCCAAGTACTAAATTAAAAAAAATCTCTGTGTACAAGGAGATCAAAAGAGATATGCAGATTGTGAACAACTTCCCACAAAATACACCTTCCACACCACCTTTTCCATATTCTTCACACTCACATCTCCAAGCAAAGTGACTGTTCCTAGCAAAGTGAGTAGCTGTAGGGAATCCAGGAATCTATCTTTTTGTCCACCCTACATACTTGTTCTCCATTCCCTTGCCTTGAAGTTGGAGTGTTCTGGTTCTGTTCTTTGACTGCTTTCTTTCTTCTATATAAGCCCCTATTCCAATGCAATCCTGGGTTTGAAATTCGAATGCAAAAATAGCTCGGTTTCTGAGTGTTTTTGAAATTTGAGTCATGGAAACAAACACATGCTCAATTTTTATCCTATGCTTGACAATGGCAGCAATTCTGTTCCCACATTGTGGTAAGCTTATGCTTTTTGGTAAGGGATATTTTTGCTCTTTCGTTTTAGTTTCTTATGAGTACAATACTCAATATATCACCTCTTAGAGGCACTTTATAAACTACAAAATATAAATCATTAGATTGAGGGATAACCCTCATTCAATGGTTTAACTTATGCAGTCTAAATTGTACGACACTTTTTATTTATAGGTATGTAATTGAGTTAGTTAACAAGTTTTCTTATCTTCTTTTAGTAGATGCAAAAAGAACAATAGGCGTAGCCAAAGTCTCCAAACATACAACAAGTTCAAGCTCGGTCCTGAAGCGCAGAAACAAATTGGAATTCATGAGCACAATAATGAGCCTAGTGACTGATCAGGCCACGGATTCCTCATCTAATATGCAAACTTATGGTGTAAGCTCTCCATTTTCTTTGCCGCCTTTCGACTCACTATCACCAATTTCATTGCCGGAAACTCCCTCCTGTGTTTATCCACCTTTTACACCTCAAACACCCCCTACAACCGTCCCAGCTCCTGGTGGAACCACCACAGCCCCACCATTCTACTACCTCCCACCAGTTTTCCCTGGCCAAAGCCCACCAAGTCCACCTGGATCTGTAACCCCAAATCCACCAGTGATAACACCTAACCCACCTGAAACAGTACCTAGCCCAACAACTTACATTCCAAGCCCACCTTATTACGAGCCAAGTCCACCAGAAATTGTCTTTCCAAGCCCACCATCTTACATTCCATCACCCTCTGGCATTATCCCTAGTCCACCAGTGTTCCTCCCGCCAATTGTATACCCTCCACCAACAGTGCCACCACCACCTCCAAGTACGGCACCGAGCACGCCCCTTTGGTGCGTGGCAAAGCCAACGGTGCCCGACCCAATCATTCAAGAAGCCGTGAACTATGCTTGTGCAGCCGGAGCAGATTGTGACTCAATCCAGCCAAATGGAAAATGTTTTTTGCCCAACACATTATATGCACATGCTTCTTATGCCTTCAATAGTTACTTTCAAAGGTCCAAAGTCGCTGGAGGCACGTGCGAGTTTGGAGGCACAGCTATGCTTGTCACAGTTGATCCAAGTAAGCCCCCTGATGCCCATTTTTTAAAACTTTAATAAATAAAGAATCTCATCATTTAAACTTTTTTTGAAAAAATTTATTTAAGTTTTTAATTTTGTTTTGTTTTTAGGCTATGATGGTTGCCATTTTGAGCTCTATTAATTGGCAATGACAGAGCACTCTTGGATGCAGGCTCAGAGATATAAATTAATCTCTTGGGATGATTCCATTATTTTTTTTTT